CCCCAAAACCCCAAAACCCCAAAACCCCAAAACCCCAAAACCCCAAAACCCCAAAACCCCTTAAATTATTACAAAAATTGAATATTTTTAAAATTGAGCATTATGGAGAAACACAAAACTTCAACAAGTGAAATATATCTGTAATTCCCTTATTCCGTCACTTAGGAGCTCTTTCTATCCCTTTTCCCTATAATTATTATCCAAATCTCTACGCTCCTGAAAAAATTACCTCTTTTTACAACAAATACACTTCTTCTACAATTTTCAACCGTCTCCAAATGGTCTAAACCCAAAGGTTAGTTTCCCTATCTCTCGTTTGTTAAGATTGCCTCTACCCTATCTCCAGTAACCCCTAATCTTTGTCGTAATTCTTTAAAACCTCATTTGACTATTCACTCTCAGAAGAGCTAATAGATCTGAATATAGAGGAGACTTGGATTCTCAATTGAAGAAGATGCAAGCAGATGGATCCTTGTATACCCTTTCGAAGGCCAACCAGATCAAGAACAATATAGTAAGAATTTCATGCCGCAGGATTAGCTTTTAAGACCCTAGATTAATGAACCTTATAGAGAAACAACAACTCTTCAAAGAAAGTGTCTATAAATGACTTCAGCAAATAAAATGTATCAGAAGTCTAGGGTTCAGAGCAAAAGAGGAGTCGCTAAGCAGCATTCAAACAAAGCTTCAGCAAATACGAGCAGGAAGAACCTGACTTACAAGTCAGACTTGAAGTCTAAGTCTAAAGGCTTACAAGAGAGCTATTCTTGCCAAACTGGATTTTCATTAAAATAACAATCCTAAATATGCTGATCCTGCCGAGAAGTAAATTTTAAGCTAATTTTTAGGAAAATTACTCAGAAGCCTCAAGGAAAAGTAAGAAAAGTTAAGCCTAGTAAATCTAAAAAAGCTGAGAAGCACAGAAAGAATCATCTGACTCATTTACTAAGGAATGATCCGAAGAGATTTCGTATTTTGGCATTTGCTCAAGCAATAGCAGCTACTCGAATCCAGAGATGATTTAGAGCTTATAAGGATTCAAGGGAAGAGCGAGAAAAGAAAAAGTTTGAGGAAGCTCAACTCCGGATTAAGACTAACTATGCTAAAGCAGTTATTAGAAAGTATTCCCTCATCTTCTTGTTAGCCAGAAAAGAGAAGAAAGAGTGGCTTGAATACCACCAAATTTATTCCATGAATGAAATAGTTTATATTCAAACTAAATGGAGAGCATTGAAGTCAAAACCTCCTAAACTCAACGTAAAGAGATTCAAAGGTGTGTTCTATGCAGCCCTCCTTGGGTGGAGAATCAGGAGAATCATGTCATATTTGAAATCAATTCCTGAGATCCGTGAGGCATTTGATTTCGCTAGGTTGAAAAATGACTGAGAGAACAACCCAACAGATACTTTTAGTCAAAGAATAATCGCCCAATTTCCTCAGAAAATGCTATGTTTCCATGAGAAATTTGACGATTTATCTGAAAATGCTATCTGGATTAAAAAGCCAGTAGGCAACCTTCAGAGTAAGCCGAAGAAACCATTTGTTAAGGCTAATTCAAGAAAAGACAACAATTTCTGTAAAACTATGAAGCCTAGTAGAGGAACTCAGAAGAAAGATGCTAAGCTTGTTGGGTCAAAGGCCCAATCTTTCAAGAAGCCAAGGAAACATATTACCACAAATCTTGAACCAAACAACCCACCTAAGACTAATAGGAAGAAGCCGCTTGAGAAGCAGCCAAAACAAACATTTAAGTTGAGTAAAATCAACTCCAGCAATAGCCTGTTTAATAATTCTGGTGGTAATAGTAAGGTTACTCCCCGCGAGGAGGTTTTCATTCATGTTGAAAGCTCTCACAAGACAAATAGCAAATTGAGGTCCCCTAATGGTAGGTTTAAGTGTTATGCATAGTACACCTCAAAGACTCTAAGAAGAGAGATTTTTCAACCCCTAAAGGACTCAGCTTCGGACTCCTTGCCAAGAAAAATGCAAAAGATAAGAAAATGAAGATTCATAAGCAAGATCAGTTTGATGATTCACCAAAGATTGAAGCAAGAAGACCTGTCAGAACCTTATTGGACGCAATGCCAAGTCCTAATAATTTTAGAAAATCTCAAGATGTGCAAGTATACTCGTCATTCAGAGACCATACAGAGAAAGATCCTACGATATCTGTTCATAAGATAGAGTGAGTGAAAATTGCTTCAGAGATTTCTATCTTTATCTGCCATTATTTTGTACAAAATTGTGAAATCTTGATAAACAGACCTCTTTCCTTAGGAAGGGTATTTAGCCTAACTAAAATGATTTATATAGCCCAAAGCCATTCGAATCTTCTCATAATTTGCAGTTTGGAAAAATGAAAAAAGAGATTATTAGAATTACTCCACTTCAAGAGAGAAGAAGTCAGACGAGAAGGTACAGATATCTCAAATTGCAATTGTCAATTCTTATAGACTAAGAGCCAGCACAATTACCCGTGAAGAAGGTGCCAAGCCAATGAAGAACTCGATAAGCTTGGTATCTCCAAATGTTGAACCTGAAGACAAGGATATTGTTAATTTTACAGCAATAAGGCCTGAGAAAGAAGCAATTAAAGTAATAGAGGTTGAAGAAAATGAGCAAATCTCAACTTATTCTCTCTTCACTAAGATTATAACAGGAGCTCTCGAGAGACTTGGAGGGGACGACCAATTGCAGCTAGCTTGACTTGAAGAGTGTAAGAATATAATAAAACTCAAAAATAAGGATAAAAAGAAAAGTATCTCCAAAATGCATGGGTCAAAATTGAAATCTCATCTGAAGAAACCTCTAGATCAAAAACAAGCAGCTCAGAATTACGAAATCATTAAAACAGAACTTGAGAACGAATATAATGATTTATTAATAACAGAGTAGATTCAATGTAAGCCATTTAAGAAGGGGTTTTGGGGTTTTGGGGTTTTGGGG